TGCGGCGTATCTGAATGCGGCGTTTCTGGAAGACTCCACTAGAAGTGGCGGGGGCCAGGACCGAAGGCGCCGCCTCGCGTTCTCACATCATTGGGGGTAGGCGGACACTGCTTACTCGCGCGGCGTCGCGTGTGTTACTGTAAAAGAAGAATCTCACGTAGCTCCTACGCGGTCTTGCAGCAAGTGTTCGAGGATGCTGTGAATTTACTACGATGGTGGGCTCTGCAGCGACACGGCGGCTTGCGGAAATACGGTGGTGGGGGGGGGCTGCTTTTGGCTCTCGGCGCGCTAGTTACACTACTCGCTCTCGCGGCTGGCGGCGCAAGCGGCACCACAGGCCCTCTCGGAGCAGATGCGGCGGGCAGTAGTAGTAAGCGACTTTTCGAAAAGAAGCACGGCGCCCCGACCTGCATGCGTAACTGTGATCTGTGTATCCCGCCCCGGTGTCCCGCCGTGTAGAGCTGTCAAACGTGTTAAGAGCTGAACAGTGTTGCTAGTGTTAACAGTAACAACAGAACAACAGTTGGGCTCCCCAACAACAGTAGCTAACGTTAGGCCAGCTGAACAACAATAAGGAAGGCCTACCAGTGACCCTGCACGACGATCTCCCAGGTCCCAGCGTCTCCAGTGCGGGTAATACCCGGAAATACCTGGAAACCCCGGGTTTTTCGGGGTTTACCCGGGTTTTTTGGCATTTCTGCTTGCTGACCACTGAACAACAGTAACAACAGTAACAAACAGTAGCAGCTTGGGCTGGGGAGAACACTTGAACAACGTTGAGGATTTCAGCCAACAATAGTGCAACTGTTAGGCCCAAAGTTAACGTGTGACAGCTCTACCGCCGTGTCCCGCTGTATCCCGCGATGGCTCACACCCCAAATTCCCCCGGCCGCCGCGGCGCCGTCCGGGCGTCCGTGTTCTTGAGAGACCTAACTGATTTTGCCTGTCGGCGGCCTCGCGAGACGCGGCCCGCACTGCTCTTTCCTCTTACCTTAAGGTACAGTCTTACTCGCGAGTCGTTCAACACTTTCAATCAACTTGTTGCGCCACTCGCTAATTCTGCATCCGCAATTGACTGGCAATCTACACACGTTTGATCGATTTGTTTGGTATTGGTCCCCAGCTCCCGCCGATCTCTCGCTAACGAATCTTGTCCCGCAGCTCCCGCCGACCTGTATGTAACCTCTCTTTCTTCGAGGTATAAAAACGTAAGAGCCACATACACTGGAGAGAAAGCTCGCTTCCAAGCTCTCACGCCGCGCGTAGGGCCCTTTAGGGGCCTAGAGAACACAACCCTCTCCCTTGTCTCCCAGTAAGCTAAAAGTACGTACACTGGAAAATCTTGGCTAGGGATCTGTTCCCGAGAGTGAACCAGCCGCGAGAATGCCTAGCCTAGGCGTGGAGGCCCGCGGCTCCTCGGAAACTCCGACCTTCGCCCGCGTGCCTTGCTTCCTGACGCGAGGACCCTGCTGGCTCCTCCGCTTGTGGGCCTGCAGCCCTCTGGTTTCTGTTCCATGGGCAAGCTGCGAGACTGGCTTCATGGCGACGGCGACCGCCCGCGCTGGTCGATGCTGCAGTACGCCGTCGCCGCGTGCGCCGAAGACTTACAGGACGAGCTTCAAGACGAGTCGAACGATTGGGCGTCAGACAAGTTCACGGGGTACGAATCAGAGGACGAGTTCGACTCGTGCAGCGAGTGGGACGACGGCGAGGCCGTCGACCGCGCCAAGGAGTGGCTGGGCTGGTCGCCGATCGATCGCGAGGCAGACGGGTACGGTCACGAGGACCAGAGGGAGGACAACGTGCCATTGGACGATTCTACCTGGGGCGAATGCAGCGAGGGCCGCCTCGCCGACGACCGTCGGCTGCAAGACATGGTCGACGCCACACCGGCCGTCGTGATCAGATGCGCATGGGAGGCAGATGGCCGAGTTGGGAACAGCAAGCACGGGATTCTCAGACGAAGATGTTTTCAACGAGGGATACGACCTCGGCCGCGTCGAGGGCTATGCCACCGGGTGGCGGGCGCGGGCGAGCGGCCAGGCGCCCAAGCTCCCGGAACCGGCACCGGCAGTGACGACGTGCGAGGCCTACGAAGCGTACCCCGTGAGCTACCCGGGCCACCGGAAGGGACTGCAAGAGGAGCTCTGGGACGAGTGGAAGACAAACCAAGACAGCGCCGCACAGGGGGCAGGCCCGAGCGGGGCGCAAGAGGTGGGCCGCAGCGAGCGGCAGGCCAAGCGCCAGTGCCGCTTCTTCAAGCAGGGAAAGTGCCGGAACGGCGACGCCTGCCAGTTCCAGCACTCCTAGAGACGGGACACCAGTTCACGACGAGACAGTCATGACAGCGGGGCAGCGCGCCACGGCGGCAAGGCGCCGAGACCGGGCAGACAAGGACAAGAGCTGAGCGGCAGACCATCCGGAAACTACACCCCGGTTCGCATGCCGTGAGTGAGAGGGTGTCAGGAGTACCAGTGTTCGGCTGGATAAGAATGGTATTCGACGACGCACCTGACAGCGCGAGAGCTCCCCGCGGGAGAGGTATGCACAAACCAGATCCCACTATGTTATATCATAGGATTGGCTCCTCACCCCGCCACGCCTTCGTGCAGACGCCGTGGCACCCACCTCAGGCGCCGCTCGGACTCGGTCGACGGCCGCCCAAATGCCTGGCTCGTGCCAAGCCGACCGGCAGGCGATGCCCACTCACTGCTAGGCTAATCTCGGGCTTTCAAGCGGCGGTGTGGTGCCGTGAAGGGCACCGGGACCAAAACTACGACCATTAGTACCGTGCGGGGGCAGTGCATTAACTCTGTCAAAAATCCAAATCTGCTCCGTGGAACTTATTGGGCTAGGATCATACGTCCGGGAGGCCCCCCTTGCGTGCCGCAACGACCCACAGTGCTGGTACCACTCTGTTCACGTTCACAGGTCGTATCAGGATCATAACTCCGATACTCCGAGGTACCTAGCTCTGCCCGACGTCAATGTTCGGCGCCGGGGCCCTCTAGGGCCCGGAATGATGAGATCAAGCAGGATGGTACGATGCCATGCCATGCGCCGCATAATCTCACGGGCGTATTCAGGCGTGCGTGTCGCCCGCTTTGCATGTGCGGAGCGGGGTGAAGTCTGCTGGGGCGTGTTGCCTGAGGGCGCGAATGCTGCGGAGATGGGAATGAGCCTCCAGGTTGCAGCGCCCGAGGCGGTGGCGCACGGCCGGCTGGAGCCTGCTGGTACGCGGACAGTGCAGAAGACCTTGGTGCCTCTGCCGCAGCAGGTCCCGCCCGCTGTCGTTGCGGTCGGCCTCAACTACCGCGCCCACGCGGCGGAGGTGGGCAAGGAGGCCCCAAGATTCCCTATCATTCTGCACGTGAATCCTGCGAGTGTCTGCGGTGGCGGTCCTGCTCACCCCATCGTGTGCCCGCCCATCGTGAGCCGCGATCCTCCGGAGCTGGACTATGAGGCGGAGCCTCCACCTTGCACGGTACACGCGGACACGTGTCCATGACGTGTCCGAGACGCACTGTCCCATAGGCCGAGCTAACCCTGGTGATTGGCCGCCCCTGCAAGGACGTCGCGCCCGCCGAGGCGCTTTCTTTTCTGTGCGGGCTGACTGTGAGTAACGACGTCTCTGCGCGCCGTTGGCAAGGCAGAAAGGGTGGGGGGCAGTGGAGCCGCGCGAAGAGCTTTGACAGCTTTAAGCCAGTCGGGCCGGCGCTACTGCTGGCGGCCGAGGGCGGCGCGGCAAAACGCTCGTTTTCAATCAGCTCGCGCGTGAACGGAGTGACCATGCAGGACTCGTCGACCTCAGACCTCATCTTTGGCGCCGCCGAGTTGATCTCGTTTTGCTCACAGGGGACGACCCTCCTCCCGGGCACAATCATCCTAACGGGGACGCCAGCCGGGGTCGGATACTCACGCTCGCCGCCCGTGTGGCTCAAGCATGGCGACGAGGTGGAGTGCACGGTGGAGGGGATCGGCACGCTGCGCAATTCGGTCGTGTACTTGTGACATGCACATGCGTTTGAGTCTCGGCGAGTCCACATGCGCTGCCTTTTATCTCAACTCCAAGACACAGAGAGCCGCCACCATAGTCTGAGGCCTGGCGTGTGCAACATGTGATCGCTCGTGTGTGTCAATGACGCTGCCTTTTATCTCAACTCCAAGACACAGAGAGCCGCCACCATAGTCTGAGGCCTGAGGGTTAGGTTTCTGGAGCCTCGGGTGCTTTTTGTTTTAGCTTTTACTAGGGGGTGCACAGCGCCCCAAAATCCACCAGTGTGGATTTCGCGCAAAAGCTTGACTCTGAATAGCTCGCTATGTACCTTTCTGAGCGCTGTGGTCGCCGCAGACTGGCTCCGACTTGACGGCGGCATGGAGACGTGATGCCTCCATGCCGCCGTCAAGTCGAAATCGACATACAGCTCGATGATTTGCCCGAATAGGTACATAGCGGCGTTTGGTCGACAAACAGCGCTGCGACCGCGATGTGGCGGTGGACATGCTCCCATGTTGCCGACGCGGCGCCGGAGTGGCCGGCGCTGCTCGCCGCGACCACGACGGCTACTCTGATGCTCCGGGCCGACCCGTCCTACCCGACGGTGGCACTCTTCCACGTCTCGCTCACGCTGAGAAAAATTCTGAAACGGCGTGCAGCAGAGTCACCGACGAGTCGGTCCGCGTGACTCCTCGTGTCCCGTACCGTTCTCACACATCCATAAACTCACTTTGGCCTCACTGAAGCGATGCCTCAATCCTGAATCCTCAGATTTTAGATTGGGACGCTGTGCACCCCCTACTTTTACGCTTTTGATCGGGTGTCAGGGGAGAGTGCGACTTTTACCATTTTTTGCCCCGGGCGGGCCCACTTTTGTCGTCGTGTTTTGCCCCAAATCTACGCGGCCGGCCGTGCTTTAGCGTTTTGGTTTTGACCCAAATCGGCCGAACTTTTAGGATACCCTCAGACTATGGCCGCCACACGCAGGCATACAGGGCCGACCTGCCCTGGGAGGAACTAGATCCTCATGACGCGACCCTCAGGGTAACCGCCCCACGAGAAGCGCAACCACTCTCGCCACGGCGAGTCCCGCCTAGAGGCACGGGAGCTGCGAGCTGGCCGCGCCTCTGCCGCGTCCAAGACGCTCCAGCTCCCGTCGGCGGGCGCGACCTCCTCGTGGTCGCCGATGATCCGGGTGTCAGAGCGGGGTGTCTTCAAGACCGGGGACCTGGGAGTGCCCTCAGGGTCGCTGCTACTTCCATCTGTGCGTGGCGTCTTGAGGCGAGACTTGAAGCGAGAAGGCGTGCCCTCGCCGCTAGCCGAGCCCGGTGTGTGCGGTGACGCCGCCTCGATGTGATGGTTGTTGGTTAGAGGATGCCAGCGTCGCCTGCGCCGGTGAAGGTAGCAAACGATGCAGCAGCACAGGAGCAAGATGATCAGGCATGTCACAATCAGTGCAGTCTGCCACACCTCAAGGCCGCTCAAGCGTTTGTCGCGCCTTTCCGGATTTTGGCCTGGCCCATCAGGATCGCCATTCTGGTCGATGAGCGAGGGTGGGCTGCTTGGGGGCGGCAAGGACCGCGGTGTCTTGAGGTGCGTCGAGTCGGGAGGTCCCTTTGTCCCTTCGGAGAGTCGACGGCTCGACGGCGCGAGCGTGCAGCTCGTCCCGCGAAAGAGGGTGCAGAGAGCACCGCGCACCTCGAAGCCGCACGTCGTGTCGTCCTTGGTCGAGGCGTCGCAACATTTGCCGTCGTTGGCCACCAGGCTAGAGTCTGTGTAACCCGCGATGGTTTCGCCTGAGTAGCTGTTCTCGTGGCCGGAGCACGACAGGGGAGGCGGCGGTGGCCTCGGACCCATGCCGGGAGGGTGAGGCGGTGGCATGGGCGCCTTGCCAGGGGGATGCGGCGGCGACGGCGGCGGCGACGGCGGCGAGGGCGGCGACGGAGGCGGCGAGGGGGGCGAAGGCGGAGGCGACGGCGACGGCGGCGGAGAGGGCGGTGGCGGCGGCGGTGTCGGTGGAGAAGGCAGGGACGGTGGCGACGGCGGCGACGGCGGCGACGGAGGCGGCGAGGGCGGCGAGGGCGGCGAAGGCGGAGGCGGAAGCGACGGCGGCGATGGTGACGGCGGCGGCGGTGGCGGCGGCGTGGGTGGCGAGGGGGGCGGAGAGGGTGGCGACGGAGGCGAGGGTGGCAACGGCGGCGGCAACGGCGGCGACGGCGGTGGCGGCGGCGACCTCGGCGGAGAGGGTGGTAAGGGCGGCGGTGAGGGCGGAGAGGGCAGGGAGGGCGGCGACGGCGGCGACGGCGGCGACGGCGGCGAGGGAAGCGGAGAGGGTGGCGGAGAGGGTGGGGACGGCGGCGACGGAGGCGACGGAGGCGGCGAGGGCGGCGAAGGCGGAGGCGGAAGCGACGGCGGCGGTGGTAGCGGCGGCGGTGGTGATGGCGGCGGCGGTGGCGAGGGGGGCGGCGAGGGCGGCGACGGAGGCGAGGGTGGCAACGGCGGCGGCAACGGCGGCGACGGCGGTGGCGGTGGCGACCTCGGCGGAGAGGGTGGTAAGGGCGACGGCGACGGCGGCGACGGCGGCGAGGGCGGCGGCGGCGGCGAGGGCGGCGGAGAGGGTGGCGACGGCGGCGACGGCGGCGACGGAGGCGGCGAGGGCGGCGAAGGCGGAGGCGACGGCGACGGCGGCGGAGAGGGCGGTGGCGGCGGTGGCGGCGGCGGCGGTGGCGACGGGGGCGGAGAGGGCGGCGACGGAGGCGAGGGTGGCAACGGCGGCGGCAACGGCGGCGACGGCGGTGGCGGTGGCGACCTCGGCGGAGAGGGTGGTAAGGGCGGCGGCGAGGGCGGAGAGGGCGGCAAGGGCGGCGAGGGCGGTGAGGGCGGCGAGGGCGGCGGCGGCGGCGGCGGCGGCGGCGAGGGCGGCGGAGAGGGTGGCGACGGCGGCGAGGGCGGCGACGGAGGCGACGGAGGCGGCGAGGGCGGCGAGGGCGGAGGCGACGGCGACGGCGGCGGGGAGGGCGGTGGCAGCGGTTGCGGCGGCGTGGGTGCCAGGAGGGTAGGGCGGCGGCGACGGCGGCGGCGGCGGCGCACTGCCGGGTGGAAAGGGCGGCGGCGGGCAGGCAGGATTGAAGAGGCCAAAGTGAACTTTCACGCAAGTGCTGTCGGGCACACAGGGACCACCAGTGAGATGCAACCTTCCCGACGGTGGCGGTGGGCGTGCAGTCCTCGGAGACGACTTCGCACCTGAGAGTGCGATTTGGGGGGAGGTCGCGGGTGCGTTCGGTGCGCATGTCGTGGTTGTTAGAGAGTGTGTAGTCTGTTGGGTGTGTTAGTAACGGCGAGTCGATGAAGTTGAGAGATGAGGGGGCGAGAGGAGGGTATGTGTGTGTCGACGAAGAGGTGTTGAGACGAGGGGGCGCACACCACGGGTCGTCGCCGTCGCAGGACGTGGCCGGGCAGCCGGACTGGTTTGTGCACCGTGTATCGTACAGGTGCGCATCCCATTGGACGTAGCAGCGGCACGGCGGTGGTGGGGTTGGCGGCGGGCTCGGCGGCGCCGGCGGCCGTGGCGGAAGTCGGGGTGGGATCGGAGCACGCTGGGCAGCGCGACCACCACGTCGAGGGCGCAGGCCGGCTGCTGCCGTCCGTGCGAGACGATGGCGCTGATTGGATTCGTCGCGCGTGCAGCCCGCCATGCGTGAAAGCCTGCCATTGCTGGATCGGATGCCGGCCCTCGCACGCCGCACGCCGCTGACACCGACGCTCGCGGTCTTTGAGACGTTTACAATGGAGAAGGAGCCGCGCCAGTACCGCGACTCCTCCTCGGGCCAGATGAGGACGCGTGAGTACAACGTGCGCTCGTGGGCAGCCGCTCCCACCACCGTCGGTGCGGCTCGCGTCCCACGATGCCCGTCGGACGCTGAGGGTGTGCAGTACCGCCGGCTGTGCCTGCAGAACGCCACGTGCTTCAACAACCTAGAGGCCGCGCATCCGATCAACTTTTTCGAGCAGCGCGATGTGTGCATGAACTGCGGCGCGGAACGCTTCACCGTCACGAACCCGTCGATTTGCTGCCAGAATGGCACCCTAGTGCTCGACCGGCAGCTGCCCAACGAGCTGCTCTCGCTCATCAGCGAGGCGCCAGGGTTTTCGAAGCAGTCGCGCGCAGGGGGTGACCTCTTTCGTTTCGCGCAGATGGCGCTGCCAAAAGGCGCACCCATTGCACGCCGCCGCCGTGCGCACCCCGACGCGCGGGACTCATCCCCCGCGTCCACCAACCCGCAGGCACGCATCGCTTCCCCGACTCTTATCAGCACCTCAAGGTTACGGGCATGCCGTTCGCCATCATCAGCAACATCAACGAGCGTAGCTCCACTCGCTCGTTTCTCGATGACCCGAATGAGCGCCTGGACGACTGCATGCGCTACTCCGCTGCTCTGCGACCCAGCCCCGCTGCGCTTGCCACGATTGACGCCGTGATGAGCAGGGAGAACGCACTCGTGCCACGGCTCATCAACTGGGCGGAGGAGAGCACCAGCAACGCGCGGCTGGTGCTCAAGTGGCCGGGCGCCACCAGCTCGGTGCGAGCTTTCACCGTCGAGCCGGCGACGAGCGTGCGTCAGCCGCGCACCATCTTCTTCACGCGGCGCGACGAGGACGAGCCGTGCTACGTGGATTCGTTCGACCCGATGTACGCGGCGCTCATGTGGCCGCTCGTCTGCCCAGACGGCGCTCCGCCGCGGCTAAAGGGGCTCGTCGATTCGGCGGGAACAGTACTGCGGCCAGCCGGTGCGCTCCTCGACAAAGAGGCGAAGAATATCAGACAGGCGACTCTCGCGCTGATGCTACAGCCGGAGCGCACTTCCCGAGGAGTGTGGAGAGGCATTGCCTCTCGTCCGCGCCGCCGCGGGACTCACGTGCGGACCGCCGCGAAGCGAGTTCTTTGACTAATATCACATGTTGGGAGACTGATGGGTACAAAGCATAGATCGTCAATCGACGCGTCGCGCCGTTGCCGATCCGCACACCGAGGCTCTTGGGTGGCGGGCCCCAGCTCTTCACAACGAACCTGGTTCGGACCACAGTTTCCCAGTTCCGAGAAGGCGCGCGTGCCCGTGCCGGCGCAGCTCGGCAGTCTAGAGCCCAAACCCGCACGGCCAACAACCGAGGCGGCGCGCGTCGTCCGTCGCCCATGCAGCCGCCTCCGATCGAGCGGCTGCAGTCGCTCCGCGAGGCAGTCACGCGCGTTTACCGGCCCTCGGACTCGCCGCCACAGCTTGGCGACGACAAGTGCGCGCTCGACCGGGCCTTGGACGGCCTCACGCTGTGTCCGACTCGAGTGGCCGCTCTGGCAGAGGCTCTCCTCCAGGACGGCTGCTCGCTGCGGCTGCTCGCGATGGCGACGGTGCTCCTATCAAACCTCTGCGGCGAGGCGGCCGATGCAAACGAGCTGCTCCGAGCCGCGCCGACGCTCTTCCAGACAGGCCTCGGCAGCCCAAACCGGGAGGTCCGCGTGCGCGTGTTGGCTCTGCTCACACGGCTTGCGCCTCGCTGGACC